GAGGATTAGCATTTATGAGAATGTTAATTCGGGTCCAATGTTGAACTGTTTAAAAAAAAAAAAATTCGGGCAACAAAATTTGTCAACTCTTGACATCTTGTGATCAATAAGATTTGGTGGATTCCAATTTTATATCAAAAACTCTATCAAATTCAATTGTGCGGGTTACGACTCACCATAATTCTTAATTTACCTACCCCAAACCTAAGAAACATCATCGAACATGAGACTTTCCACATGTACGCCTAGCGAAATGAAGCCAAACTCAAGTGTATGAGATTGCACGTTCACATGGCTACCAGTTCGGCTCATGATATCGATCGCCCTATAAGGAGATCATCCGAATTCCGTTCATTGATGGAATCGCCAATAAACCAATCATATACACTACAAAAAAAAAATCTTTAAATATTCGAGAAATAGCAATCCAAAAGCTCACGTGCGAGCATTCAGGAGCATTCAGGCTAGAAGTAGCCCAAGCTCACCTCACTTATGATGAAAAAGAAGTTGGATACTGCCGATTTTTTGCCATAAATCAGATTAGGCCAATATTAGAATTGTTTGCCGAATTGAACGAGATCTCCATCAACAACTTCGATCATCATTAATTGGGTTGGGTTTGGACTTTCGGGCTTTACTTGGTACAATGCGCTCGAGTGTTTTTTCACCTATTTTATTTGTCTTCTTTCACCACTTGGTCGACCATACGGCTGTGATATGTTGCACCTAATCACACATATATATATGATTTTTTAATGATGTGGCAGCTGACATGATAGTGGATTCAACATTGCAGACATCTTAGTTGACTTGATACCTCGTCCACGTCAGCATTGTTTATGGTTTGAGTAATTTTGTTTCAGTCAATATTGATTTTAGCGGCGAATTCATATTTCATATTGAAAATTTGAAAAAGATAAATATGAATATGTTTAAATAAGCTCTTATAGTTCAATGTCGTTTTTATAACACATACCTTGACTTGGGAAACGAATAAACAGTTTTCCTTCGGTTTGTTCGATAGTCGATAATAAGTTGCTATAGTTTTCCATGCTTTTTCATCAATCAATTTTCCGATATCTCCACCAAGGAAGTAGTATTTGTTCTTTGACTTCTGGAAGTCTGAGCAACCGAGAACCTCCTACTTCATTTAAGAGGAATTGTTGATTACAAAGACGGATATGTATCATATTTGTGAAAGATCCTATGATCTTTTATAAGGGAATCTTTATAGGTAGATACGTTCAGAGTCTCTAAAAAAATAATTTA